AGAGAGAGAGAGAGAGAGAGAGAGAGAGAGAGAGAGAGAGAGAGAGAGAGAGAGAGAGAGAGAGACTTGCAATATTGGACAACACGTGCGAGGCTTTACTTTCACAGAATACACGTCCTGTCCATGGCATGCGACCGAAACAGCCGCGATTACCCTTCTACCTCTCTGCTCAGGTAATCATTTCAGTCATTATCATCAATATATATATACCCTTTGGTCCAAATACCTCTCCGTCCAACTGAACCCTAGTCCCTGCAGTCACTTCTCATCATCGTGTCATCGTCGCATTGCTGAATTCCCACCGTCCAGATGTTTGTGTAGTCACGAAATGTCGAAAACTTTCCTTCTCGAAAAAATCCCCTGTGTCTTTGCCTCTATTGAAGTACAATGGTCGGTGATGCTGATGTCGGGTATCTTGATGCTTTTCTGGTCGTGATGTGCCAAGACCTTCATTTTCGAGATGTTTGTCTTCATATCCTATGAAGTAACCCGGTAACGTTTTCTGGTACTTTTTAATTCATTACTTTTGTCTTCGTTCGTGAATTTCATTATTATTTCGAAGTTAAGATTTCATAATTTGCGTCTTTATATCCCATGAAGTGCCCGGTAACGTGTTCAGGTATCCTTCACTTCCATCCTTTGTTTTATGAATTTTATTGTTACTATTACACGATTTGGATTTAGGAATTTGGACTTTGCTTTTTCTTTTTCTTTTTCTTTTTATGAACATCCAAGTGCTATACGGGTTCAACGTCCGAGTTCGGAGATCGAAGTGAATTTTGTTGGTCGGTACGTGTTCTGGAGAACCTTGTTTTGAATTTCCTTTGTGTGATCTTCTATTTCCACGCTCGGAGATTCATATTTGGCCTTCTTACTCAGATTTCGACCAGATTTGCTCGTTTTCTTTGGTACTTTGTCGAGAGGTTCGTGCTACCGTATTTTTGTGTTTCGTCCCCTTGGGTACTTTGGCTGTTTATCCTTCATATTTCGTTTGGTAGAGAGCACTTCATTGTTTTATCTTTCCTGTTTGTTCCGTCTTTGTTTTTGTTTGATTTTATTTGTTTTACCTTTTTAAATTCGCTCTGTCTTCCTTGTTGAGAAATTCTAAGAAGACATTTCTTACTGTGTTGCTTGTACAGTTCCTGATGAAGGTCAGAATTGCGAACGTGTTGTCTTCCATGGGTATTCCAAAAGCTTATGTTCGGTGCAATATAATTCCAACACAGCGAACAAATTCACGTCATACGTGTTTGTCACCATTCTGTGGAAAGTGTCGATGATCGTCAACACTTTCGTGTTCACAGAGACGACACTCTTGAAATGACAGATAGACCGAATAGAGAGGGAGCTTAACAACCCCTCCCGGAGTGTAGCTTCATTCTTCAGTTTATGCGTACATTCAGGAGGGGTTCGTGATCCATCTTCATGATTTTTGTTTCTAAGTAATTCCATTCCATACTTTGGGTGTTCGATGTGGATTCTAATTTTAGCGAAGAGTGATAACAATTTGTGAATGAATTCAGACATGCTGTTTCAAATTCCACATTGTTTTGATTAGCGATAACCACAAGCATTATATGATCGACAAATCTTATACCATGTAGGAGTTTCTGATCAATATCGATTTTAGAAGGCCATTTTTGTTCGTCATATGCGCAAACCATGTTTCGGATCGCCAGACTAGATCCTTTCCCCATGGGTACTCGTTTGATTTGTCGTAGTAGTGTTCCTTGTGCTTTGAAGTACGCATGCTGAATATCAGAATACAGTAGGTCAGATAGTGTGGCATACTGCGTAGCCACACGGGCCTGCAGGGCCCGTCCCGCATTTCCAACCTAAAAGCCTAGAAATAAGGGCTTACAGGCCCCTGTCGTTTCAGCCTGAAAGACTGAAAAACAAGGGCCTGCAGGCCCTATGTCGTTTCAACTTAAAACAGGGTTTTTCAGCCCTTAGGCTTTTCAGCCTGAAACGGAGGGTCACTTTCAGGCCCTCATAAGATCGACCTACCCTAAGACTCGAGCACAAAAACGGGGTTTCGAGAACAGGCTATTTCTGGCCTGTTCCCCACGACAGCCTCAAGCAGGAGCTGCAGCGGCAGCCCCTGACTCCTTTCGTCATTGGCAAGAGCAGCCTCCTGGACTGCCTCGCCCTGCAGTCAGGAGGCACCCGAGTAGTACATAGGAAGTTCCCATGCACTTCACGGGTAGGTAGTTGGACAGTAGGCACGAGTAGTCTTCAGGATTCGGCCGCAGCACTCAGGAGGAGCGCTGCAGTAGTAGTAGCGCTAGCAGTAGTCGTCAGCGCTGGGCGCTAATAGCTGCAGGGGTAGTCTTCAGCACAGAGCGCTAGTAGTTGGTAGTAGTAGCGTTGGAGAGAGATGGCTGGCGGAGGCCAGCGGTACTTACCTGTGGCGCCATAGCTCCAGCTCCATTTCGAGGTACCTACATCAAGGCGCCATCTTCACAGGTTAGTACTGGATAGAGAGAGAGAGAGAGAGAGCTTCTTCTTCCTCTTCTAAGTCCACTATCTCTTCTTCACCCTCTCACCACCTGACTTCGCAGTATCAGCAGACTACGACAGAGAGAGAGAGAGTTGTGCCTTGAGACTTGACGACATTGGATCCAGACTCGGCATTGGGATTCAGACATTTTGACGAGGGACTATTTGGGCCTGTGCCGAAGACTTGGTGTTGACGACATTCCCATATCCCCCTCTTCTTCGTCTAACCCCCCTCTTCTTCGTCTGTGTATGGTTGGGGCTGGCGCGTTCTTCCTGTATGAGCGCCAGACCCCTTCACACCATGGAATGATGATGATGATGTATGTTCGGGGCTGCATTGCAATATTGATTGTTCGGATCATTGGTATCTAAGTCTTCCGCTACGCTATCTTGTACTTTGTATTGAGAGGTCGGTTCTTGTTCTGGTCTGCACCGTTACAGTATGCAATAATTGGTACATTGGAGACACTATCTCCTTGGCAGATTCTTCTACGTGAGATCTGACCATGAGACCTTGCGCTGGATTAAGACACAGCCAATACTCTTTGACGCACTGAAGCGATGGATTCAAGTGATAGACATGTATGACTATCAACTTGATCCAATCAAGGGAGAGTACAACAAAGTGGCTGATGCGTTATCTCGCCGGGTGGATTATCTGGGCGCACTAGTAACTGAGTTTGGCATATCTAGCGATTTGACTCGATCATTGGTGGACGGCGGGACGCCTATCAGCAAGATCCTGTTATGTCTGAGATCATCCGTAGATTCAAGGCAAAGGACAAAAAGACGTTGGACGAATTTACGATGGTAGACGGCTTGCTGTTTCTTAAAAAGGCAGGGAATAAAAGATTGTGTGTTCCCAGTAGCGAGTCTTTGCGTAGTTTATTTTTAGGAAAATGCCATGATGCAACTGGTCATTTTGGATACAAGAAGACATCAGCAAACTTAGTACAGAGATTTTGGTGGCCCTCTATGATGTTAGATGCAAAACACTATGTTGAAACCTGCCAGGTTTGTCAAAGGGACAAACCAAGGACTCAAGCACCGCTCGGGCTGATCAAGCCCTTGCCGATTCCTGAAGGACCAGGTCAGAGTGTGTCTTTGGATTTTATGGACACCCTTGTGACCAGCAGGTCTGGAAAGAGACACATCTTCGTTATAGTGGATCATTTTTCTAAGTATGCCAGACTAATCGCTATGCCTGAAAGTGGTAAAACTGACTATGTCATTAAACTCTTCATGGATAACTGGGTAAGGGATTTCGGTCTACCTACATCTATAGTCAGTGACAGAGATGTAAGATTCACAAGTGAATTGTGGCAATCGACTGCTGAACGAATGGGGACAGCTCCAGAGGACGCCAGGGAACCATCCTGAGTCAAATGGACAGGCAGAACAGATGAACCGAGTAGTACAGCACCTGCTTAGGCACTATATCAAGCCAAGTCAGGACAACTGGGACGAGAAATTGCCACTCGTTGCCAGCCTGTACAATAATGTTGTGCATAGTACTACATGTATGCCTTCCAACCAACTGCATCTTGGTTGGAAGCCTCGAACTGCCCTTGACTTTCTACTACCGGAAAGAGAACCCACTGCAACACCAGGCAGCATAGAGTTTGCTGTAAACTATGAGCAAATGCTGCAGCAGGCCATTGAACATATTAGAAAATCATAGGAAGCAATGATTGCATCTGAGAATAAGCATAGACGGCCCTCTAACTTTCAGGTAGGGGACAAAGTATGGGTTAAGTCTTCTGAGCTAGGTCAAGAGTTAGGTATATCCCGCAAGCTAATGTCACAGTACTTTGGGCCCTGGGAGATCCTAGATGTTGTAGGGGATCAACCGGATGGGCCTTCATACGTGATTCGCATCCCACCTCACTTATGTACATACCCTGTTTTCCATGCGTCCAAGTTGGCACCTTTCGCTGCTACAGAGCAGTTCCCTTCAAGAAGATCAATGCTGCCCCCAACCATGGATGGCGACTTCTCAGAGGACTAGCGAAGTAAAGGAGGAGGGAATGCGAGGATCAGGGTCCTTGGTAGGCCTGCGGCCCTGTTTGTAGCATTGCCCGCCCTAAGTGAAGGCGGAGGTGCCCGCCCTAAGTGAAGGCGGGCCTGACATATCGCAAGAGGCCCTCAACTGTCAATTTCATATTTGGGGTCCAGGCAGTTGCGACGCGCGAGTTGGTTGAGAGAAACTCAGGCCGGGCAACAAAGACATTTCCACAGCCCTCCGGGCTTTTCCAAAGAATGCAGGCCCTGGGCGTGATTCGCAGCCTCATACAAAGACAGTTGGGCGCCCAACCAACCAAGGCCCAGCAGCCCGGTAGCTGCTGTACACAGGCAGCCTCCTGGGGACTTCCGGAAGCCTCTGGGCCCAGACCAGGGCAGCCAGGCGGGGCAAGCAGG